CCTAAACAGCCCATTCATCTGGGATATTCTTGAGAACCCACCAGAAGCCTCTCCTGCCAACCTACAGGGGTGGGGCTCGAGTTGCCCTGAAGATCATTAAGAATGTGGAAAAGTACAAGGAAGCAGCCCGACTAGAAATCAATGTGTTGGAGAAAATCAATGAGAAAGATCCTGACAACAAGAAGTAAGCAAGCAAGGAAGTATGAGGGGAATCTTAAGAGTCCCCATCCCTGCACAGGAGAGAGTCCCAGCCTTGAATAGGCAGGCAGGGAAGTCCTCAACCTTCTCATCCATCCATCTTTTGTTGATCATCCTAGATAGAGTAATGAAACATCAGGACAGGAAGGACCTGTGGCATTCTCTAATCCATTTTCCTTGTTTCCAGGGAAATTATATTGCACTAGTGTTTGTATTTGGCCACAACCCAGATGGCCTCTTTAGAGATATGCCCTGGAATGTCCCTGGGACTGAGCATCAGTAGTTTGATTTAAAAAAAAAAAAGAAAAATTTTATACTTAAGATTACGCTGATGAGGCCATAGATATTTACATAGTAATATTTATGTTCACACACATTCGTAGATCAAAAGTTGAATAGAAACATTAAATGACATAAGAGGACTATAAACATGGACCTGGTAGTAGCTGATCTTCAGGAATGGGGGATAGAGTCGGGCTCGGGATTGACAGCTTAACAGTTCAGGTCTACACCAGAGCCTGGCACTCTACTATTCTTCGGCAAATAGAGTCTTTTGAACTATTTAAAATATTGTAGGAAAATAGCTTAAAGCTTGGCAGGTGTTAATTATCTTTTTTGGGTCTGCTGGAAAAGCCATTCTCTAGCTATACTGAATTTTGTTGGTAATGCTAGCTGGCATGTTGTTAGACACGTATGTGGAATCACCAGCTGTGGAGTCCTTACGGAAGGGGTAGTGGACTCATCAGACAACTCCCCTCCTTCCCAATCTCTCTTCTCAGCCTCTGTGTGCAGATGTTTGACTGGTTTGACTACCATGGCCACATGTGTATCTCCTTTGAGCTCCTGGGCCTTAGCACCTTCGATTTCCTCAAAGACAACAACTACCTGCCCTACCCTATCCACCAAGTGCGCCACATGGCCTTCCAGCTGTGCCAGGCCGTCAAGTGTGAGTGGGGTGGACTGAGGTGGACTCTGGGGCAGCCCCTCCCTCCATTGAACCTCTTCTTCTTCATGTGCACTAGTGAAGCCCCTAAACAGTCAACTCTAAATTATTTGCAGTTCTTTTATTCACTGTTACCCTGACATTACCTCTTCTGATTTAACTCCTTGACTGATGGATGTCTCTACCATCACTCTTTGTTCTTATTCCATATTCAACCTAGCAGGAGCTAGAAGAGAAAGCCTTTGAAACCAAAGCATTTAATTAACCTTATTTCCCCCTTCCCTTTCCTTGGGAAGTGTAAGTCAGACAGCAAACACAAAGAGACAAAAATACTCTGCTCAGGCTAGAGGTTGATATTTGTCTAAGATGAGAGGCTCTCAGTTCCCTCAGACCAGGTGGGAGTAGGAAGTAGTTGGGCCAAGGTGCCAGATACAGAATCTAAACCAGTACATAGTGTCTCTCGAGTCTTCACAATATAGGTTCAGAGACCTGAGTTCTCAGAATGTGAGATAACACACCTGTGCCAAAGTCAGTACACAAATATAACAAGCTCTTACTCTTCTATATCAGTTGAGAATTACGTACATATCTTACTAAGAGTAGAGCTTCTTAGACCAGGCATTTCATTTGGATGTAGAGCACACAGCAGCTGCAGTCATTCTAGACCAGCCTCGCCAGCTTTGATCTAGGTGAACAAGCCTGGGGCGAGCTGGTACTAGTTAGTAACGCCTGGACACCTAGACTGAACCTAACCTGGCCTCCTCCCCTACAGTCCTCCACGACAACAAACTGACACATACGGACCTCAAACCTGAAAATATCCTGTTTGTGAATTCAGACTATGAGCTCACCTACAACTTGGAGAAGGTAAGGTGAATGGGGTCTTCTCCATGGCCAGTGGAGGCGTGCAGCTGTGCCACTTTGCCTTTCATTTGGCGACATTCTGTTCCTTTTTTACTTTCTTCCACATTTCCTCCCTGTCTGGCCCCAGTTATGTGAAACCAGTGTACCAAAATAGCTTTCAAGAGAGCAATTGAGTAAAGCTAGAGTACCAGAATGGGTAGAAAGACATTTAAAAGGACTAAAATTAAATTGGAAGAGAAGTTGAAAAAAGGACATCAGATAATTTTCTAATAGAGTGAAAATGGTTTTAAGATTATTGGTTTATACTTTCTTTTTTCTTTCAGACATAGATTTCTATAAGGTGGGAAAGCTCAGCTTCCTTGATTAACTGAAGATAATGGGAATCTAAGCATTAAGGAAATCCTCTCTCTCTTGACCCCTTTGCTGCTTGTTACGTGTTTACTGAGAAAGTGTATTCATTTCTTAATCCTCTTCCTCCTCTAAACTAAAGTACCCTGCTGAGTCTGGGGAGGCTATAAAGTAGGTGATTTTCCAGTGTGTTTGGGAGCAGGCAGGAGGCCAGTTTCATTGTCAAGGCTCAGAGGCACTTTAGAGGGTGAATCTTGGTCTGAGAGGAGGAGATTCATTCTCTTCCTGCTTTGCTTCTAGAAGCGAGATGAGCGCAGCGTGAAAAGCACAGCTGTGCGTGTGGTAGATTTTGGCAGTGCCACCTTTGACCACGAGCACCATAGCACCATTGTGTCAACTCGCCATTACCGAGCACCAGAGGTTATCCTTGGTAAGGAAGGCAAGGTGTGTGAGAAGATGCGGTGGTTAGAGTGAGGCTCACTAAAACCTCATGACACCTTTGTTCCTTCCCCACTCTCACCCAGAGTTGGGCTGGTCACAGCCTTGTGATGTGTGGAGCATAGGCTGCATCATCTTCGAATACTATGTTGGCTTCACTCTCTTCCAGGTAAGTGGTGAATATCTTACATGACCACCTGGCTTTCACCTAATTTATTTTCTGCTGTGCTGAGAACCTACCCACTCACTCCTCTACTCCACCCCTGCACGTTGCCCGTCTTCCTGGCAGCCAGTCCTTAGAATCCCCCTTCGTCATCACCAGTCCCGTGTTCACTTCTGTCCTTGTTTCTCAGACCCATGACAACAGAGAGCATCTGGCCATGATGGAGCGGATTTTGGGTCCTATTCCTTCCCGGATGATCCGAAAGACAAGGTGAACCTTGAGTGGGAGGGACTTAACCTTTTCTTTTTAATCTCTACTGAATTGGTCTATTTCACATCATTTTCTTTTTTTCTTTGACGCCTTCCCTCCCACCCCCCAGCTACTCTCAGATGGGGGATAAAAGAATTACCTTATAACAAGAGGAACCTCCTGATTCCTCAACCTCCCCTTCCCCTCTAGGAAGCAGAAATATTTTTACCGGGGTCGCCTGGATTGGGATGAAAACACCTCAGCGGGGCGGTATGTTCGAGAGAACTGCAAACCATTGCAGGTGAGCAGGCTGGAAATAAATAGTGCCCACCACCCAGAAGTCACTTACTCCTTGAGGGGGTTTGCCACAAGCAAAGGGTTAAGAAAGGAGGGGAAGTGAAACGGAAAGAAGACTTCTTTGGTCAATAGAGAAGAGATGAGAGGGAGTGGTTTTGTGGAGGAAAAGAGGTTGTACAGCCACAGATTTCTAGAGCCAACCAGAGGTGAAAGCAACGTCCTGGATTACTTAGGTCAGACAGAAAAGACTAAACTACCTTTGAAGAGCTTACATGTTAAGGAGCTAAAGAAGATTCATGAAGTTGACAAGGATGTACAAATAGAACTTTTAAAGGATGAGAGAGTAACTGTGCTAGTAGGAAGGTAGACTGAGTTCTCATCAGAAACATTGGTCATGGTAAGGTAGCATTCAAAATGCTTATAAGCAGAGCCTTGGTTCTCCAAGATTGAAAGCTAGGGCCTTGAAGAAGGCAGGGTTAAGATACCCTGCCTCACCTTTTTCCTGCCCTCCACTACCAGCGGTATCTGACGTCAGAGGCAGAGGAACACCACCAGCTCTTCGATCTGATTGAAAGTATGCTAGAATATGAACCTGCTAAGCGGCTGACCTTGGGTGAAGCCCTTCAGCATCCTTTCTTCAGCCGCCTTCGGGCTGAGCCACCCAACACCAAGTTATGGGACTCCAGTCGGGATATCAGTCGGTGACGATCAGGCCCTGGGCCCCCCTGCATCTTTTATAGCAGTGGGTGTCCAGTCTAGGACACTGGTGCTTTTTTATACAAGAGAACAGAGCCGGAGTGAGCTCCCTCCTTCCTCCTGGCTCCCTCCACATCTGTGAATATGTGAAATAATGTACATATGACAGAACTTGTACCTACCAATTCAAACTTGCCTTGTACATAATGCCATTCCATCCCACACTTCCCACCCTCACCTGCCCCTTCACATGGAATTGGATGGGGGCAGAATGAGGTAACCAGGTGTCCATCTACCCTGTGTTTTATAAGGAATTTTGTACAGTCTTTGTGAAATAAAATGATGTGCTTCATCTGACCCCCACCCCTGGAATTTAAGGTTTGGGGATGTTGGGGTGGAGGGATGATAAGATTGGCAGTCTGAGTTTGGGTGTGAAGAGAGTCCATTTTATCAAATACAAAACTGAAGGCCATCACTTTTATCTTTCCACTGTCTCCAGAGGACAGTGATGGGGTATCATAACTTCCAGTCAGAACAGAGAAGGGTTTTAAGATGTCACATCTGTGATCTGGAATAATGAAGGTTGCAAAAGAGGTCTAGGCCCCAGTTTACCCCCAACGACACAGGTGGAAAGCTTGCATGCCCAACCAGGCTCCTGTGGAGCTGCCACGATCTTTCAGAATTCTCCCATCGTACATCTCGGGATAGAAGGCCCGGGATTCTGATGGGAGAGACCTGCTGGGATATGTAGTTCGTTAGTGGGATGAGGTCACGTGAGGTGGGGCGGTACTTTGTTATGGGACAGGGTTAGAGCTGTCACATGGGACACTTCCGTCTATCCTTTTAGCTAAGACGCAAGCACAGCCTGCTGCAGCGGTAGCTGCTGCGGGGATCCTCGTGATCCTTCCGGTCGGGACAGCCAATCCGTGCATAGAGAACCGGAGTGGACCGAGAGGACCGAAGGTGCTCTGAGAGCCACCGCCGCCGCCACTGCTGCGGCAGGGGCGTGGAGGGCCGGAGCGGCCTAGTCCGTGGTTGCAAACATGGCTCAGAACAGAGACGGCGGGAACCCGTTCGCCGAGTCCGGCGAGCTTGATAACCCCTTTCAGGTGAATTGCGCCGACCTCCTTGGGGCAGTTGGGTTAACTTCCCGGTGCTGGAGGGTCAGGCTAACTTGTATTTTCATTCATGACATTTGATCCAGTGAAGGGCCGGCACGTTGAGGTGAGCGTGACTTCAAAACAGTGAAGATCTTAGGGAGCGGGCCCTGCCCCTGTAAGGTGTACTGACACTGTGAGATCAAAGATTTGGGACAAATGTTTGGGAACAGTGTGGCCTCTCGAGTGCAGTCCCTGGAGCCACAAGTAATTTAGGAGCGATCCCTGGGAATTCCTCCAGGAGGCACCAGGTGCCAGCTGAGCCCCAGGTCTCTGCCCTCAGGACCCTGCTGTGATCCAGCATCGACCCAGCGCGCAGTATGCCACGCTTGACGTCTACAACCCTTTTGAGAGCCAGGAGGTGAGTTTTTTTGGAGCGCAGAAAGATAAGGAAATAGTGTACCAGTAAGCTCAGTCTGACCTCCGGGCTTACTGCATGCAGAGGAAGGAAGAAAAGCACTTTGGTTTTAACTGTCCAAGAGAAGCCAGTCTACCATGGCTTGTCTGATTCTTCTAGAGATACCAGAGCCAAACCACCCATCCAATTTGAGCTCTACAAGTCAGTCCTGGGAGGACTTGGAATGTGGCAGTGTCTGAACCAAGGCTAAGAAGGCATTGAGGAGAAAACGGACTGTGGTCAGGGGTGCAATTAAAAAGGCAAGGAATAAGGACAACTAGGCTTGTTTGTCCCGTTAGAATAGAGAATGGTAAAGATTCTGAGATTAAGGAGTGCGTGTAGTAAATGAGTGCTTCGAATCCTTGCTAAGGAATCGGATGTAAAGGATGGTGCAGGCTGATACAGGCCATCAATGAGTTAGTTCTCTGACGTGATTTCAACACAAGAACTTTTTAACAACTGAGGTGGGGGCTGCTGGCTTAGGTAATGAGTTCTGGGTCTGTAGCATTCAAGTAGATTGTAGGTTCCTGGGTTATGGGGGATTAGATGATCTCTAAAGTCTTTTCCAAACCCAACAGCCACCACCGGCCTATGAGCCTCCTGCCCCTGCCTCATTGCCTCCACCCTCAGCTCCCTCCTTGCAGCCATCAAGAAAGCTCAGCCCCACGGAACCCAAGAACTATGGGTCCTACAGCACTCAGGTATGGGGTGGGAGGTGCACAGGAGGGGCTAGGGAGAGGGGCCCATCCTGGGATCCAGGTCTTACAGCTCCCTCTGCTTATCCTGGGCAGGCCTCAGCTGCAGTAGCCACAGCTGAGCTGCTGAAAAAGCAGGAGGAGCTAAATCGGAAGGCAGAGGAGTTGGACCGGAGGGAGCGAGAGCTGCAGCATGCTGCCCTGGGGGGCCCAGCAAGTACGTGGATCCTTAGGGGGGAATCCACTGAAGGAAAGAGAAGGGTGTCTGACAGTTTGCAAGGAGCAAAACAAGAACTTAAGAATATGGACTCTGGAACTAGACTGCTGAGTCTGAATTTTGGCCCCATCACTTACTAACCATGACGTCTTAGGCAAATTACTTAACCTCGGTGCCTCAGTTTCCTTAGTTGTAAAATGAGAATAAAGTTTATACCTGTTTGACAAGATTGTTGTGAGGGTTAATCAAGGCCATATTTGCAGAGTGTTTAGCACAACTCTTGAAAACCAAACTGATTGCCATCAAGTCAATTCTGACTCATAGTGACCCTGTAGGACAGAGTAGAACTGCCCCATAGGGTTTCCAAGGCTGTAACCTTTATGGAAGCACTGCCACATCTTTCTCCTGAGGAGTGGCTGGTGGATTCGAACAGATGACCTTTCGGTTAACAGCTAAGCATATAACCACTGTGCTATAGAGCTCCTTAGCATGGTGTTTAGAAGTTATAAATACTAATAAACATTTGCTGTTACAGTTATTTTGCCACCACCCCCCTGTCTCCTTGAACCCTGAATTAGAAATAAAAGAGAAGACATGGGGATGGAAGACAGGAGGAGTGAGCCCTTTGTTGGTCTCTGCCTGACTTCTGAGGTCCTACCCACTGTTCTTTGTGCCTTATAGCTCGACAGAACAATTGGCCCCCACTACCGTCTTTTTGCCCAGTCCAGCCCTGCTTTTATCAGGACATCTCCATGGAGATCCCCCAAGAATTTCAGAAGACAGTATCCACCATGTACTACCTCTGGATGTGTGAGTAGTGGGAATGCTCCTCCCATCTTCCCTTGTCCCAGTGCATAAATGGATGCACTGGGACATCCATTTAGTCCTTTAAATGTGTTTACAAGAGGGATCACATGTGACTGAGATTTGTTAGTTCTGTCTTCCTTGTTGGCTTGAAGATGCCATGAAGGCAAAGCTGCCGCCTTCTTATTATTTTGCCACATCTGATGAGGGTTGAGTGGCTGTATATGGGAAGGAGCCCTCGCTGCTGTCCAGAAGGACCTATCATCCTATCCTACCCCTTAGGCAGCACCTCGGCCCTTCTCCTGAACTTCCTCGCCTGCCTAGCCAGCTTCTGTGTGGAGACCAGCAGTGGCTCAGGTTTTGGGCTTTCCATTCTCTGGATCCTCCTTTTCACTCCCTGCTCCTTTGTTTGCTGGTATCGCCCCATGTACAAGGCTTTCCGGTAAGCAGGTAGTGGGGCAGGGGATGGAGGACCTGGGATGGGCCTTGCATTTGCTTCTCCATCCCTGATTCTTCTCCCTCTGCCCCATTTTTTTGTCCTTACAGGAGTGACAGTTCATTCAATTTCTTCATTTTCTTCTTCATTTTCTTCGTCCAGGATGTACTCTTTGTGCTCCAGGCCATTGGAATCCCTGGTTGGGGGTTCAGGTCTGTGAGGTTTCCATCCACCCTCATCACTCCCTCTCGCTTGCTCTAGACCAAGCCCATACTGGGTACTGGGGTAGGAGTTGTTCAGAAATAGAAAATGTGGTTTTTATCCTTGGGAGGTGTTAGTTTTAATGGGAAAGACAGGACATACTTCCAGAATAGAGAGAGCCCAGGCAGAACTCAAGATAGGCATGGCTTGAGGGGGAAGAAAGCTACATGTGATAAAACTTCTCAATCCTTCTCAAGGGCTTTCTGGAGGAGGGATATGTAACCGTGGTTGAAGAGCAGAGGGAGAATCCTCAACAGAGAAGTGTCTCTCTGGAGTGAGGAGGCCTGGAAGAGCTTGGAGAGCTAGGAGCTGATGATCTGGAAGCTGAAATCAAACTATGACAGGAGAGGAGTTGGGATTGAGAGAGGAGAGATGTAGTTGGGATTGTGGTGTGTGGAATGCTGCCAGACAGACAGGAAAGCTAGTTCCGGCTGCGACCCCTGATGGAGTGGGTGGAGGCATGTCTGTGACAGTAACTAGGGGAGAAGCTGGGAAGACAGAAACCTAGCTGGGAGCAGCCCTTCTTGACTGCCACATGCCTTCCCTCCTTACAGTGGCTGGGTCTCGGCTCTGGTTGTGCTGAAAACCAATGCGGCTGTAGCAGTACTCATGCTGCTGGTTGCTTTGCTCTTCACCGGCATCGCTGTACTGGGAATTGTGATGCTAAAGCGGGTGAGGGACTGGGTTGAAGGAGGTATGGGTAAGAGGGTGAGATCATGGGTCCCTGGGGCCTGGATGAAACTGGGGAGGGACAGGCTGATGGGTGAGTTCTCAGCTAATGGACCTCTGGGGGCTGTATGTCTCTGTGTGTGCAGTGGGAGAAAGGGTTAGAGCCAAGAAGGAAAAGCTAGAGCAGGCTGGTGAGTGGTGTGATGGTCTCAAGTTGGTGTTGGGTAACAGTGACTGGAACCCACTGTAACATCTCCACCCTTTGCTTGCAGATCCACTCCCTGTATCGCCGCACAGGTGCCAGCTTTCAGAAGGCCCAGCAAGAATTTGCTGCTGGTGTCTTCTCCAACCCTGCGGTGCGAACTGCAGCTGCCAATGCAGCCGCTGGGGCTGCCAAAAATGCCTTCCGGGCCCCATGACCCCTAGCTGGGATCCCTGGCGTTGCCACTTGGGGGAGTTGATGTAGCCCCCATCCCTGGGGTCTCTGGGACTTGGAGAGGCATCACTACTTGATGTCCCCTCTCTAGTGCCCGAGTCCCACATCTATGACTGCTGAGTCTGATTCAAGGGTGCAGGGAGCCCACTGTGACCCAGTCACACCCCCTCACCCCCCACCAATCAGGCCACACTGCTGCCACCTCTCACAGTACCCATACCCCAGCTTCCCTCTGCTGTGCCAAGGCTGTTGCTTCGGTTCTTTAAATAAAAAGGAAACAGAACTGGAACTCAAGTCTGTTTCATGATTTTATTGGGAATTAGGCCTTATGAAAGAAAAAGTGTGGAGGAGACTGGAGTGGATGCAGAATATCCAGGAGTCTGACCAGGCTTTAATGGAAACGGAGAACCACGGGGGTATGGGCGGCAGAGCCAGGGTGCCTACAGCAGGAAGAGGGAGGGAAGCCCACGGATAGGCGTGGAAATGCCCAGCCACCAGGGAGCCTTGCTCCCCACCCTTCTCCATTAATGATCTGGGGAAGAGCCGCTGCCTCTCCCGGGAGTGCCGCCGGCCCAGGAACCTGCGAGGCAGGGTGGAGCTCAAATGGGTGTAGAGATAGTGGTTGGCATCTCGGTCCAGGTTAGGGAAGAGCAGGGGTTGAAGGCGAGCTTGCCAGACTGGCAGTAAGGCCGGCTTGCCCCACCCCTACTTCTCGCCCTCCCCCTCCCACGGGGTCTCCGGCCAGGACTACAACTCCCGGGGTGCACCTCGGCGCCACGCCCCTCTTCCCTCTCCATCCCCATCCCCCGCCTCCAGTCCTGGACCTGCTGCAGCCTGAGATGGGGTAGCGGAGCTGGGTGGGGAGGGGAGCGGGGCAGGAGACCCAGGAGACGGCGGCGCCGCGGCCTCTCCCCTAGCAAGCGGCCCCGGAGCCCACTAGACACCCCGAGGACACACCGGCTGCACCTCTAGAATCATCCCGCGCTGACCTCTCCCCTCTTCTCTAGACTCCTTTCCTATTCTTGCATTTTCCCTCTCCATCCTTCCCGGCTCTGGACCACCGCCCTCCCCTTACTCCCGGACCGTACCTTGTCGGCGCTCCTCCTCCCTAGGGAGATGCGATGAGCCGGTGCCCCCGCGTCCTCACTGCTGCCCCAGGCACGGTGCCCGCCCGGTGCCTGTGGTGGGGAAGGAGCACGCCGCGGCTCCTCCGTGACGCCCCTCCCTTGGGATCCCCCTCAGCTGGCGTCCCGGGACCATGTCCCAGGGGACCCAGCCAGGGGGTGGGCTCTAGAGCGAGGCGGGTGGAGAAGAGGAAGGACGGGGCCTTGGGCGCCTCTGCGATGCTCCCAAGCGCCAGGGCAGGCCGAGCGAGGCGCAGGCAATCGGGCGGCAGGCATGATGCCCTCCCCTAGTGACTCAAGCCGCTCGCTGACCAGCCGGCCTAGCACCCGAGGCCTTACCCACCTCCGCCTCCACCGGCCCTGGCTGCAGGCCTTGCTCACGCTGGGGCTGGCCCAGGTGCTTCTGGGCATCTTGGTGGTCACCTTCAGCATGGTGGCCTCCTCCGTCACCACCACTGAGAGCATCAAGAGGTCCTGCCCGTCTTGGGCTGGGTTCTCGGTGAGTTGGGTGCACAGTCGGTGGGAGGGGGATGCTCCTCAGGCCCCACCCCTCCACACCAGCTGCAAGTCCACATCCTGGCCTCTCCTCCCTCTCCTGGTCCTCTCCTTCTTTACAGGGCTGGGTGCACCCTGTGGTGAGGGGCTCACTCAGGTGCCTCCCCTGCCAGACTGAGCCTATGCACACTCTGTCCCCAGCTGGCGTTCTCCGGGGTGGTTGGCATCGTGTCTTGGAAGCGGCCATTTACTCTAGTGGTAGGTGCCAGGGTCCAGTGCCCAATGGGAGGCAGGTGTCCAGCACCTGGAGGGCTGTCTATTAATGCCCTAAGGAGGGAATTGGCTATCTAGTTGGTGCCCGCTAGGCACAAAGTGTCCATGAAGGAAGGTGGTTTCATTCATGGTATAGGGGCTATTGGGAAGCAAAACCTGGCCCCTGTGCAGGTCCCAGCCCTGAGACTGCACCGTGTTTCCCCAGATCTCCTTCTTCTCCCTGCTTTCGGTGCTCTGTGTCATGCTTAGCATGGCTGGCTCTGTTCTCTCCTGTAAGAATGCTCAGCTGGCCCGAGACTTCCGAGATTGTTCTATGGTGAGATTTGAGGAGGAAAAGCCAGAGAGAACTGGTTGGGGGAAGTGTGCTCCATACCTGGGTTTATCCTGATACAGGCCATCTCATGCTCCCACTCCCACTCAGGAAGGAAAAGTCTGTGTGTGCTGCCCCTCCGTTTCCCATCTCCAGCGCTGTCCAGAGTCGGAGCAGGAACTGAAAGTTGCCCCTAACTCCACCTGTGATGAAGCCCGAGGGGCCCTCAAGGTGAGCATGCACCCATACTACCTCCACCATTCCTCCCTCCCCAACCATCCTTCTAGTTACTGTTCTTGCTTCCCCAGTCATAGCTTTTAACTCTGTGTCCCACTCCTGGGGTCCTCACAGGCCCAGAATATGTGGATATACCACTCCCCAGGTCCTTCTCATCCTCTTCCTTTTCTTCCCTTCTCCAGAACCTGCTCTTCAGCGTCTGTGGGCTCACCATCTGTGCTGCCATAATCTGTACCCTCTCTGCTATTGTCTGCTGTATCCAAATCTTCTCTCTGGACCTTGTACACACGGTGAGGATAGAGCCAAGGTCAGGGTCAGGGTGGTATGGTGGGGGAGAGTGCTGAGCCTAGGCCTTCAGGGGCTGGTGGGTTGCACTTCAGGCTTTGGAGCACTGGCAGGGGCTGTGAGTCACCTAGTAGGTTGGTAGCTAAGTCTGTTGGAGGGGTGTTTTGGGAATCCAAGCGATGGTGAGAAGAATGAGTCTGGGGCCAGGAGGGAGGGCCTGAGAGAGTAGGACTAGAAAGAGTGACTCTTGATGGAGCAGGGTCAAGAAGGTCCTGGATAAGGTGAGGGGAAAGGAGGATGTTCTGATGGGGACAGAGTCAAAACAGGTGGGGATTACGGGTGGGGCAGGCCCACATAGAGGAGTTGTTTCTGAGTGGGTGGTGCCAGAGCTGGAGGTCCAGGATGGATGAGGGAGGGGCCGGAGTGAAAGGAGCTTCTTCGATGAGGCAGGGCCAGAAAAATAAAGGTGAAAGAGAAATTTAGGGGGCCAAAGGGGAAATGTATTACCAGAAATCCAGTTTGCTGACCTGCTTGCCACCCCCACTCCTAGCAGCTAGCTCCTGAGCGTTCAGTCTCAGGCCCCCTGGGGCCTCTGGGCTGCACGTCCTCTCCTCCAGCCCCTCTTCTCCACACCATGCTGGACTTGGAGGAATTTGTACCACCTGTGCCCCCACCACCCTACTATCCCCCAGAGTACACCTGCAGCTCAGAAACAGATGCACAGAGGTGAGGCCTGGCAGGTCCTGCTGGGGAAAACAAAGGAGGGGCTGGCACTTGGACTGGCGGGGAGGATCTTGGTGGAACAGGAGTTGTTTTCCAGGCTTTGATGCTCTCCCTCATCCTGTTAGCATCACCTACAATGGCTCCATGGACAGCCCGGTGCCCTTGTACCCTACTGATTGCCCCCCTTCATATGAGGCTGTCATGGGGCTACGAGGAGACAGCCAGGTAAGAGCAGGGCAGGGAAGCTGGGTGGGGCCCGGGAAGCTGAGTGAGCTGCAGTAGCTGGTTGATAATAATAGTTCTTGTGATTTTTGTAGCACTAGCACATCACTGTCATCTTTGATTTTTCTTAGAACCTGGAGAAGAGGTCAAGGTTGTAGGAACTATAATTTCTATTTTACAGATGTAGAAATGAAGTGACTTGCACAAAGTGACGAAGCTGGACTAGAATCTGGGACTCCAGAGCTCTGTCCAGTGGATGGGGGTGGCTGTGTCACTGTGTCAGGCAGGACCTCTCACCCTTGTGTCTTCTGCAGGCCACTCTGTTTGATCCGCAGCTTCACGATGGCTCCTGTATCTGTGAGCGAGTGGCTTCCATTGTAGATGGTGAGCAGAGAGCAAAAGGACCAGACAAGGGCAGGGCTGCCAGGGAGGGTGGGGCTGGGTAGGGAAGGGAAAGGGGAGACAGGCTGAATTGGTGGATTAAGAACAGGAAGGGCCTAGGCTGTGGCTTCTTGGAACCCCGGATTTATCTGGCTCCTCTGAGATAAAGCTGAGGCAGATAGGCCTGGGAGAGGCTGGGCTTGAAAGAAGAACTGCCTGGGCCTAGCCAGCTGGTGTGATCTGACACCTCCTGCTGCCCACAGTGTCCATGGACAGTGGGTCTCTGGTGCTGTCAGCCATTGGTGACCTCCCTGGGGGCTCTAGCCCATCAGAGGACTCGTGCCTGCTGGAGCTGCAGGGCTCCGTGCGCTCCGTTGACTACGTGCTGTTCCGCTCCATCCAGCGCAGCCGTGCCGGCTACTGCCTCAGCCTGGACTGTGGCCTGCGGGGCCCCTTTGAGGACAGCCCTCTGCCACGGCGGCCCCCTCGGGCTGCCCGGTCCTATTCCTGCTCTGCTCCTGAGGCTCCCCCACCCCCACTAGGTGCCCCCACGGCTGCTCGCAGCTGCCATCGGCTAGAGGGCTGGCCGCCCTGGGTGGGACCCTGCTTTCCGGAGCTGAGGCGGCGGGTCCCCCGGGGAGGCAGCCGGCCCGCAGCAGCTGCTCCCATCCGAGCCCCTACTCGACGCTTCAGCGATAGCTCAGGTTCCCTCACCCCACCGGGGCACCGGCCTCCTCATCCGGCTCCCCCACCACCGCTGCTGCTGCCTCGGTCCCACAGTGACCCAGGCATCACCACCTCCAGCGACACTGGTGAGCTGCCTGCCCCCCCACCTTCTCCCCAGCATGCAGGAGAGGGCAGCCACTGGGAGTTAGAGGACTGGCGGTGTCCACTGGGGTTTGGGACACAGGGGTCCCTGAGAGGGAAGAAGAAGTGAGTTCTGTCATACAGTAGACACCCTTGAACACTCCCTCCTAGGAATCCAGCATTGACAGCTTAGTAGCTAAAAGAGGAGGCCTTGATCTTTGAAACCCAGTTCCATAGCTCCTAGGTTGGGTGAGTTAGCTAACCTGTTTAAGCCTCAGTTTCTGTCTGTAAGGCAATTATAAAAGCAATACCTTCATTCTTAGTCTTATTGAGTAACTGAGAAACGAGCTAAAAAAATTAAAAAAAGACAAACTCACTGCCATCGAGTGGAATCTGACTCATAGTGATGACCCCTCCTTACGTTTCCAAGGTGG